CCCTCACCCACCTGCTCACCCAGGTGGGTGAGTATTTTACTATATCTCATTGTACATCCTGCTCACCCACCCTCACCCAGTTGGGTGAGTATTTTACTATATGTCGGTGTACCTCCACCTCCCCCAGGGAGTATTTTACTATATCTCGTTGTACATCCGCATCACCCACTCCACCCAGGTGGTGGGAGTATTTTGCTATATGTCATTGTACCAGGCTGGGGGAGTATTTTCCTATATAGCCTTTGCTCCTGCTCCTGCTCCTGCTCCTGCTCCCCTCACCCAGCGCCTGCGCCTTCGCTCCAAAAGGGACCTAATATACTACTCACAAACGAAAGGTTCGTAACTCGGTACTTTTGATAACAAATCCTACCGTATGTTACACCTCGCAGTCAAAAGACCCCCCACCCCCTCTAATCACATATATTATATATTTTTGTATCATGTAAAACACTTATTGATATAATTAAAACTATTACGTTTTTACTTTTGTTTTAACGTATATATTATGCTTTAAGTTTTAGATATAACATAAAAAAACTCCAATGTAAAATAACAACATACCGATTCAGCTTGAATAATTATTTTCATACACATGTATTTTGTAAAAACCGCCGAACCACCACGAGAATGAATACATTAACAGCACAATAGTATGTGAATACATTAACAGCACAATATTATGTTCGCATCAACGTGCTGAATACATGTTTAAATGGAATGCGAGAACTGCTATTGACGCTGTTTCAAATACAGATGGAAAACAAGATATGAGTTGAGCATCTGAATACCCGTCATAACCGGGTGTCAGTTTCCGTGTGATCGGTGTGGCGTAGGCAGGGGGGGGGTGGGGGGGGGGGGGGGGGGGGGGGTTCGTGGGAGGCGAAAAGTCTACGTTACCCACTTGGACGTCCAACAAAATGACAGGTGTTTCCACCCCCACCCCCGAAAAAAAATTTCAAGTGCACCCCCGGAGAAAAAAGTCTGGAAGAAACACTGCCTGAAGACGGTTAGGTTCGAAGGGGAACTTTACATTTAATTAGTAGGTCCTATGTTAAAATAAAAATAGAAACGTTTGCGACTAAAGGTATGTTATAATTTCGACGTTAGCCTACTAGGAAATGCAATTGTGTGAGCATTTGCATCGCATTTTTTTTTGGGAGGGGGGGGGGGGGCAAACTTTCCCGTTAATAAACATGCATTCAACACGAACAAAATACTAGCATGAAATAATGAGATCGATAGGACAATTACTTATCATATAGGATTCAGTACGACGACATTCTCATTATTTACACTCAAAAAAATTCTTAACTTAATCACAATTAAGCTATGTACGCGTGAAACAAAGAAGTAGCCCATAAAACAGAACTTGTCCCTTTTATGGATTCTTCTTGTAGATCTGGTAGAATACGGTTTTCCTGTTCTGGTTTATCTTTTTTTTCTTACTTTATCACTCGCGAATTAACTGTTTATAAAGTATTATCTTGAGAAACGAAAAAATTATTTACAAATTATACTCTTGAGTCTTTTTTGCTTCCTTTTCATAGGCGTATCTAGGGGGTGCCTTGGGAAGAGGGGAGGGGAGATCGCAAGCGTTCGCCCTCTCATTTTGGAATAAGATTGTGGGAAAGTGTAGACATATCAAAAGATAATGTTCTTAATTTGTCTGATATATTACAACAATAGTCCGTTATTAATGCTCCTCTATCTAGCATAAATCTCCCCCCCCCACCCCCCCCCCCCCCCCCCCAAAAAAAAAAAAAAAGAAAACCACAACAACAATAAAACAAAAAAAACTCCACACTTGAAACCTCGTGTACCCAAAGATGCCGGCGTAAACCCACCACTAGGTATCACATAGCCTGAGGCGGACTTGAGATTGTGAGGCCTCTCGTTCGTCCTTCTGGTAAGCCTACTAAGACGGGAAACCTTATCTTCCCTGCTGTTTAATCTACTTTACCCCCGGGCTGATTCGACTCAGCATGATTGGGCTTAAAGAAATGACCTTTACCTGGATAGATATCCCTCTTTCCAGTATTGTTATCTTCATATGGTATTACAAGGAAAATCTTAAGCGTTATTGTCTTTATAAAACAGAAGTTAGCCAGGTTGTTACAGAAAATCAGAACCTGAAATGACTTACGCTTATTTCTAAATATGCTAGCTAATTAATACAATATTAACTATTAATACACTATAACTAATACACTATTCTGGTTTACTTACCCAAGGGGTCATCCATAAATGACGTCACTCTTTTTTGACGATTTTTACCTCCCCCCTCCCCTCCGTCACACGTCGTCACAAAAAGCCAGACCCCCCCCCCCCTAAAATGACGTCACACCCCAGCCTACAACCCCCCTCAAAATTGCAGTTGAATTTTTTTTTAAACATCGATATTTTTCCAAAATCTTGTCTGAAATAGAGTTTTTAATCAATTCCTATTATAATTTATTAAAACTGTTTTCTAAAACGCTAAATAACGTCAAAAATTCGTTTTCTAACATTTCTTATCTGTAAAGCAAAAGTGTGACGTCGCACCATCTGAACCCCTCCCCCTCCCCCTCATCACACATCGTCACAAAATTACCGACCCCCCTCCCCCCTACGAGTGTGACGTCATTTATGGACGACCCCCAACCACAATACTTTACGTAAGAATGGGTTGATTGAAATCAAAATACCAGAAACTCAATTAGGCTAGTCTTACTGTGAATCGTGAAACACTGTATTGTGTTTGCATCTATGCCGATATTCAAAGGCCTGATAGTTATTCTCCAAGTTGATTATGAATAATAATTAAAAATGATATAAGAATGGGGGAAGGTCTAACAATAGTCGGCCATTGACACTAGCCAAGTTTATAGGAGGGTGTCTTTTTGGGCTATTAGTTTAAGTTTAAGGGCATGGGCGGGTGATGAAAACCAAAATAACCAACCATGGCAACTGCAGGAAATTTTCGGCCATTTTTTTTAAATTTTAGACTTAACTCTTTGAGTTATGACTATACGCTAGATATGATAGCATTAGGTTTAGAAATAAGCATTTTGGCTAATTTGGTTTTTATCACCCGCCCATGCCCTTAAAGTGGGCTGTAAATGTAAGTAAAAATAAAATTGTCTTAACATAATTTATGAATTTGATGTAAACAAGTATAGATCAGACCACCTAATCATCAAATTTTAATCTCGTAATAAGTAATAGTAATGGATCTCGGTTCGGACTCGTGACTGCAGGACGCCCCTGGAGTCCAACCAAGCTCAGTGTTTCTTCCAGGCTTTTTTCTCCGGGGGGGGGGGGGGGGTGGGGGGGGGGGGGACTTGAAAATTTTTTTTTTGGGGGGGGGCGGTAGACTTTCTTCGGGGGGGGGGGGGGGGGGGGGTGGTGGCGGACACTGTTAAATGTATATATTTTCTATATACATTCCATTTCGTTTGGGAGGGGGGGGGGGGGCGGTAGACTTTTTTCTGGGTGGCTATACTTGGCCCTTGGTAGCCCACGGGTTCTTTTCAAATTGGATGATAGCGGATCTCAGTTTTCCGTTTTCTTGACTTATTATCGGCGCCAGGCCATACATGTTCGTCAAGATTGGCGTCTATATAGATTTGACTCCGTAAAGGTGTAGGCGTCGAACAGTATCGGCTATTGGCTGGAATAAAAGTTAAGGACCGCCACTAGATATAAGTCGTCGAAGTGGTCTCACAAACTGAAAGCCCAACTGGCAAGCCAATACACTATGTGGTTAACAGTTTCACGTTCCAGTCAACGGTGGGAATAGAATGGGAAAGAGAACAGCATTTTCATATACGCTTTCTAATCGACAACACATGTGTAGCACTGTAGGATTTACCGTTTCAAGAGTACTTAATTAGGTCGAGTATACAGCCTAAATATAGGTTTTTAAATTGACATTTTGCTATATGGGTTATTTTATTGACGATATTTTATCTCCACCCCCTCCCTTCCGTCTCACATTTTCGCAAAAAGCCTGACCCCCCCCCCCCCCTTAATAAAACCACATCGTTTTTTTTTCTGCTAAAATATTGACTGATCTCGGAATTAATTTCTATTACAATTTATTAAAACAGTTTTCTTAAAGGCGAAATAACGGCTAAAATTCAGTTTCTAATATTCTTTTTTTGGAATGCAAACGTGTGACATAACACTATCTGCCCCCCTCCCCCTTATCACACATCGACACAAAATTACAGACACCTACCAATGTGACGTCATTTATGGACGACCCCCTTATCAACCGTCAACGGATCTTTTATACACAAATATTTTATTTCAGTGGTTGATGTGTATAGCGGTTTTATACTGTCCGTTCAAGATATAGATAATAATTTTTAGTAGATGCACGTAAATAACATACTTTAAGTTGATTCAAGAAAAATATTAGATCTTATTGTAGACAAAATGTACCATTCACACACAACTGTAATTAATTAATACGAATCAAGTTATTATCTCTAAATCTAGATCTACGTGCAGTGTTTCTTTCAGGCATCTCTTAGGGAGGCACTGCTCCTCCCTCTCCCCCCCCCCCCCCCCCCACCCCCCACGCATGGGAGCGAAACACAATTTATTAGAAAATGTATACTTTTATAAATGTATTTTTTGTAAACACGCTGCTCCCCCTTCCCCGGGGTGAGAGGAAAAAGACGTTCCTATAACACTTCTAACTAAACTAATGCAAATTATTGTCCACATGGGGAGGGGGGGGGGTCGTCCAAAAATGGACAGTGGAGGGAAGTAAAAATATGGTAAAACTTTTAAAATGGGTAGCCCTGATATAGGCTCCATGTCCATTAATTTTAGCATTGATAGGCCTTGCCTATAAGAATTAAGTATAAGAAATTGTTTTAATATTTACTGGCTTTTTAAATTACAAATTATGTATTACTATGTTGGCTAGAAAGTTGTTTTTAAATAAAGGAGAAAATATTTCCCAATTCAAAGTGCTGCTTTGCAATTTTCAAGCAGTTTTATCTGGCAACCGATTGTTTACCAAGACAGACTTGTGTAAAACCGAAATTTCTCATCACAGCGATTCAGATCATTTTTAGATTTAGAAAGAAATCTGTTAGATCTATAGATCTATTAAATTCAGAATGTCCCTTGAAACTGTTCCTAAAGAATTAAGGAACCTTAGGGCATGTCTGCTTTGCTCTCTTGTAAAGGTAAAATTAATTTAATTGATCGCCCGCTCACGTTTTCTTGTCAGTGTGTGTAGTGTTGTCAGAATGAGAAAAATACTCAATACTGTGACTGTGAGTTCACTTGGGTTTAGAAAGTTTAGATATGACATGATGAATAGTGTAGGCCAGGCATATTTATTTCTTCTATTATTGTACTACCACGCATGCGAGATATTTGTGTTCAAGAAAAGGGGCCAGGAGCTGTAGACTCTTGTTGTAGCCTACATTCAGCTATTTTATACAATTTAAAAAAAATTTGGACTGATAGTTGATGGACCTGTAAAATCAAATTTTTAATTACGTTAGTTTAATAATAGAAAAAAAAAATTAAGCACATTTTTTACATGTGCGTTCAACATTCATTCGTTCACAGAAGTTCATACCATGAGCCATATATTATAGACCTAACAACTTACGTTCGCCGTGACATTTGTCAGGAATGATATTTAGAAATACAAGAAAAAAAAATCACAACAGAAATCATAGATCTATATTCTGCATCTTAAAAGAATTATTGTTTAACTAAATCCTAACAAATTTATTGACTGGTCCAAATAGCAGCCAAGGCTATAAGTACAAGGACCCAGATCCTAATAGCGGCAGTGGCTATTCTGAACCGGGTCCTAATAGATGCAGCCTACTTTTAAGTAGATTTAATTTTAAATAGGCTCTACATATTATATTTCTTGTTTCAGACATTTGAACAGTTTGAATTGGATGGCTGTGAAAATTGTGAAGAATTTTTACATATGAAAAACAACAGAGATGCAGTCTATGAATGTACAAGTGCAAATTTTGATGGGTAATATTAAACTTTTTTTTAAACACCTAAAGTTCCCTTTTTGAATCTGACAGTTCATGGGGCAAGTGAAGTAGATTTCACCTGTTTCTTTGAACTGGCATATGAAGGGATAGTGTGGTCAGCACTATGCCTAGGCGCCTATTATGTTCCCAAATTTGAGTTAGGTATCCACCATAGCTCGATTGAAACTGACTTCAAACTGGATTCAAGCTCCAGTTTTGGGTTAGCATTCTATAGCTCTACAGCTAAGCCACACTGTCCCTCTATATTCTAATACATAATTATTTAGACATAATGACCCACTTTAAGGACGATATTATTTTAGCCACTATAAATAATTATCATATTTACTTTGTTGATTCTGTAAGTGTAAGTATCTACATTATCATAATATAAATATAAAACTCCAATATGAATTAAGAATTTAAATACTATGATTAAATTTTACATCCTATGAGTTATTAATGATTTTATACATTTTTACAGACTTTTATCAATGATGAGCCCAGAAGACAGCTGGGTCGCAAAGTGGCAAAGAATAGGTACAGTTATTTTACTTTATTAATAATAAAATATTGGAAGGAGTAAAACAAGCTAACGTTTGGCCAGTAACAAGTATAAAAGTTAAAAAAAATTCATAATTAATGAGTTTTCTGAAAAGAAATTCATATTCTTTGTAGTGCATTGAGTTAAGTACTTGTTTTATAATTCACAGAGAGGTTTACTAAAGGGTGCTATGCTATATCTGTGACTGGACATCTACCTCCAGGAATTGTTAGGGATCTCAGAGCAAAAGGCAGAGTCTACAATTCAAGGGATGTTAGTGAAAGAACGTGATGACTTGAATTATGCTGTAAAAGTTATTGATTTTCAAACGCTGCCAATTGAATAGCCTAACCACATTGAACTTAAGTCATGGAAATTTCAGAAACATTTAAATTATAAGGAAGATGCTAGGAGCACTGCAAAGAACTTTCTATGATGATAATATTGTCTTAATTCAGTTATGATAATGCAGTATTTAACAAATTATTTGCAGTCAAGATTCTGAAACTTGTTCCCAATTACTTATTGTTTAAAGCTTTGTTCGTCAGTGGCATTTATTGTATCTGTATCACAACTGTATGCATGAATTAGTGTTGCTTAATTGGCCTAGCACTGTTTGCCAGATTAAATGTGTTTGCTTACTTGGTGTATGTGAATATATGGAAACAATGTAAATAAACCAACACAATTCTATGTGAATTTCAAGACATTTTGTTACTTTTCATTGACAGATATTCTCATAAAACCCACTTCAGGTGACCTCTTGGCTGTTTTTGTTTTGCCTGATACTGTCAGTGTCATATCAAGTTTTTGCCTATTGTTATTAAATTCATTAGTCAGTTTTGGCTAATGAATAATATTTCTAACTATTTCTCATAGCTTTTTAAAAAATTTAAGTGTTTAATATTCTTTATAAATTTGGGAATGACAACAGCATTAGATAGCATTCAAGTGCAGGCAAGACTTAGAAATAGAGTTTTATTTTAGAAAGAAAGAAAATTAGCTCAAACATTTATAAACTTTTATTTTGTTAATATTGTGAATAACATTTTTGAACATGAAAATTAAAACTATATACATGTGACCAGATTTAGGTTTCAATAAGTAAAGCTTGTATGGCAGAAAAAGCAAGTAGATAATGTAAAATTGGTCCCATCAAACACAATTTTCATCAACAATCAGTAAAGTAGATTATATGTTTAAAAGTAAACACAGTTATTCTATGATAACAATTGTTTTGAAATTATTGAATTATAACAAGATGCACATGACTTTAAAACTTAGAAAAAATTATTCACAACTGGTCACCCTCGTAACAAAAACCATTCTCATCAAAATATTGGGAAACAAAAAAAAAAAATCACAGATAACTGAAAACATTCAAGATTCGGATAAAATATTAATGCATTTTACTTCACAAATTGTATAGATTTGAATTTTAAACAATTTACAAAAATTATCAATTCACCAAATTAACCAAAAAGCTAAATTTAAATATTCTTCTCTGATAAAGGCAGGGGTACAATAGATATGTTGAAATTTCATGGTGTAAGTAATGAGGTATTTAAAAAAAATGTTAGTATTATTTGTTAATAGTATTTCTCCCTAGACCAGGGGTCGGCAACCTTTTGAAGCGGAAGAGCCAAAAGTTACAATTTTCTAAATTTCCCTGGTTTTAAAGAGCCACTAACATTTTTTTGATTTCAAATATTTTATTATTTTATTAAGATTATTAGTATTTGTTCAAGGAGCTGGAGAGCCGCATCTTGATATCAAAAGAGCCGCATGCGGCTCGCGAGCCGCAGGTTGCCGACCCCTGCCCTAGACCAATATCCTTTCTGTCCAGGCTGGACCCTTCAATAGGATAGATGAAGTAGAACTCATCCATTTAAGTGAACTTTACTTGTGAAAGAATTGCGTGGTCTGCACTCTTTCCATAATGATTTACTTTACCTGACTAGGCTTTGGTACCCATATGATATACCCAGTGTAGTGAGCTACTTGTGGTGATAGTCAATGCTTAATGCATGAACTCAACACTAAGTCTTTGTGTAGTTTCTCTATTGGGTTTTACATTACAGCATACAACAGTTGGCAATCAAGGTATTGACCCATTAACTTCTCCCCTAACCCCTTTTATAACCCACCTAACAAAATATATCTAGTTCTTACACTACAGAAGTTTGTTTATAAATATTTGTTTTCATACAAATACAACAGAAAGAGACTTGTTTACTGGATAATAAATATAAACAAAAAGTTACGCAACTCTATACTTAAGCTGAGGTTAACAATATCAAGCTGTGCACCTAGGACATCTAAAGGAACTTGAGCCCAGAAACCAAAAATTTCAGGAAAGCAATCAAGGTGCTCAACCACACTGTCCTGCTAACAGTGGAGAAACCTCAACTAGATGGTGGGCACCATTTCATGCATGCATAGATAAATTAAATGTTTGTTAGATTCATTATCATTTTTTAGACTTTCAATATTAGAAGAAAAAAATAGTTTATAAGCACTCCTCTCAGATTTAAAAGTAAAGTATGTACCCTTAACTAAAAGAGTAAGTACAAATATAAAGAGTATAAAAACATCATGAACAAAATTTGAGCGGTGTTTTAATACAAGATAATTTTTGTCTTTGGGATCTTTTTTGTGGGAGGGTGGGGTAGGTCAGTTAATAAGTGGTTTATTAACTTTTTAATAATTTTACTTGCAAGTTCTCAATAATTTGTTAATGTACGCTGAGATAAAAATATAATTATAAAGTTTGGCACTTAAAAGTTTTATGAAGTTAAAATGTTTTGACAATTACTTTTGAAGTAAGAATAGGATTTTACCACACAATAGGTTTTGATGTCGGCTACTAAATAATACATAAGGATAAAAATTTAAAATAGCTAGTAGAATAATTGAAACTTGTAATAGCACCTTGAAAAAGCAGATTTGGTTGCTTATCAAAAATTTTTGAACCCTAGTTATTCTCATATGTTTCTTCATCAGAATCTTAGTATTTGTTTATAATGGAATACATGTCATCATTAAAATGTTTTGATTAAGCATTAATTCAATTTTAAATAGTTATAAAAAAGTATAAAACCACCAGTTAATACTAATTAAGAAATACAATTTAAAAACCATTGTCACAACAAGATATTTCTTCATAATTAAACAATAAGGCCAAGTATTTATTTAAAGTATTAATAAAAATAAATGTTTTCACTCATTTATAAAAAAAATAATACATTTTACAAAACTGTTGCAACAAAAGTGATATGAATTTCTTCAAATTTGAACAACAAAATATTTCCAACATGTGAATTAATAACTTAACGACCACACTGAATTATCTTAGCTTGAGATGATATCTCCCATCTTTGTTGATCTTATTCTGAGGCCTGCTGGACCCTCCTCTTTACACTGTTGTTGAAATTACCCTCTTGATCCCTCTCTTCATCCAGTATCTGTTTAAAAAAAAAAAGCAGAATATTTGAGTTTTTTTTTTTATTTTGAAAAAATTGATATGAAACTAAGATTGTGAACAATAACTTTTCAGTTGACTTCCCATTAGGATAATTCATGTTTTTTTTTTTATCAACAAAACATTACAGCAAGGCAGACTTTAATAGGATTTGTTTGTTAGGAGATGACATTTTTTCAACTGTTGTAATAAAACAAGCAAGTGAAGCCATAGTGTTATCACAGGACACAACAGAACTGCCTTTTCTGTAAATAAAATTAGCCACATGGATAATTAATTCAAGGTGAAGACAGTCACTTAAGACCATTGGTATTGTTACCTATAGCAGTTTTAATTTGTAACATTGGTCCACATTAATTAATTCAATACTATCCTAATTCTTTAAAATACTCCTACTCTTCAGCTATACCATTTTAACTGAGTCTTTGGATAAGCTTTTGTCTAGATTTGCCCAGTGCTTAGTATTGCTTGAAGGAAAAATTCGACCAGGCATTTAACAAGTAGAGGTAAAAATAAAACAGGTATAAATCCCATAGTATGTAGAGGAAAGTCAGGGAGAAGGGATGATTCAAGACAATATTTTCACACAAAAAGAAACATTCAAATACATCTTAACTAAAACATACAAATCTTTTTTTTTAAATCTTAATGATTAAAAAAAAGATTTTTTTTTTATTTTAAAGAAAAAAAGAATAGGCCTAGATATTTAAAACAAATTTTTACAATGAAATATTATCATAAGATTTTAACAGATTTGTTAATACTATAGTAATGTATAAAAGCACAGAGGGTTTAAATGGATATAGAGGAAGTTGGGATAGGTGGAAGAAATTTAATATTTTTTTTTGAAATAAAAGAAAATATTTTCCAGTGTCATTGTCTATTTAAAAATTTTTTTTGGGTGTTTAGATACATCTGCCATTTTTTTTTTGGGAAGGAGGTAGAGCAAAGCAAGTGAAATATTTCTTACTAGTGCCTTCACAATCATTAAAGGATTTAACAGCCATGATCTGGGAAAAGTTTTAGAGGAAGCTTTTAAAAATTATCTTTACTTTTATTTAAGGAACATTTTTTTTGCATTTTATTGATCAACACAGGTGGGTTTTAAAAAATCAACATTATGAAATTGTTATAAATATACTTGAAGCTTTAATTGTAAATATTAGTAAATAACTTTGTGTATGAGCAAATAATTAAATATATGTATAATAATTGCAAATTATAAAAATAAATGCTTTAGTATAATCTAAATTTTAAATATTATGCCAGATTTAGGAAGATGATGTTTTTTTTTGGTGACAGGCAAAAAGATACAAAAATGTCAGCCTAAGTTCCTCTGGGAAAAGGGACAACCAATATTAACACCAAAGAAAACAACCCTAGAAAAGTGTTTAATTTGACTAAGAAAAGCCAAATGTTTACGTGATTAAATGTTCCATGGTCAGTGGTGTGGCCACCAGATAAAAGCGGCATCTGTTTGGTTAGTGTAATTAACAGACTGTAATCAAACTAACTAGTAAATTGACGAAAGATTATTTTAATGCAATTTGCCATTTTCCCCACTATCAGCTTTTTAAAAATCAAAACAATAATAGAAGAAAATGGAGGGATGTGAATTAAGTTTGCAATTATTTTAGACATTAAAAAACATCACTACCAGAATGAATAAAGTTATTTAAAAAAAAAACAACTATCTTTCAAACCTATTTTCGAATTATCAACTGAAGTTGTTAGTATTAAATAATATATAATAATAGAAGCTAAACTAAAAACACAAAAAATCATGGACATAAGTAAGCTGCACTACAAAAACTGAACCCACTCATTAGCAGTGATGATTAAACTACACACCTGGAATGCATCCTGCCCTTGTACATCTAAATATTTTTTCTCTCTGTAAAACTTGCGCGCTTTGAGGACATACAGCACAATGAAGTCACAGATGATTGTAGACTGTGGGAAATAAAGTGCAGTGAAATATATTCAGTGTTACAACTGATGAGATTATAACTAGATTATTACTTCAAAACATTTCCTCTCTAACAAAGACATAACATGATAGAATTGAGAAAAAGTGTTCCCCCTGTTCATAAGCTTTACTTATGTCACAATTCTATCAATGGGGTGGTTTTTGTTTGAATCTTGTAATGAATTCTTCCCCACTTCTATTGCAGCGAATCCGTTCAAATTTCACTAAAGAAATCTTTTCAGTATATATTGCCACCAAATCTTTTTATTTTTACTATGAGGCCTATGTCTAAAGAAAATTCATGTTTATTTTCTTATTTTTAATGCATTTAAAATATTATAATTATAAAAGTTTAAATTCTTGTTCTATTTAAACACACATGATTTTAGGTTTAACATTGCTCTTACCACTACAAGTAGCGCCATACCACTGCCAAGATTTAAAATGAGAGGAACAACACTAAACTTTCCCGCCTTGCCCTGTACGGTCACAACAAAAATAATTCCAGTGGCTTTATACAGGTTCCTGTACTGGATGATGGTGTCGTTTTCTTTAAAGGCATACTTGTCAGCGTATCTGTGAGAAACATTATATAAAATAAAATGTAATCTTTTCACTACCTTGATATTACTTTTACACAAAACTAATTGAGTCTTTTCTCTTCTTTTCATCTAGATCTAAGTGTAAGGATATAAATGATGCTACTAATTGACTTTTACATTTTTGTAAGGGGAAGTATATATTTTAGTTATTAAAAGTTAAACTAATTTGGGCAGATAAAAATTAGCCATTAAAAAACTGTAAATAAAGTAGACACAGATTGTTTGATGAATTTAGTGACATGTTGAACAGTTGTATTTTCTAAATAAAGAGTTAACACTAACGTAATATTCAAGAGATAGTATAAAAAAAAATGTCAAAGACAGAGGTTAAACTTTTGAATTAGAAGAGCTCACCTGAAGTTAAAACCTTTAGCGATACTGTAGTCTCCCCTGTCAAGCCTCCTGAATGTGTACTGTGGTAAACACTTGTCAATGCTGTAGTCTAGGTCACATGTCCAGTCAATAATAACTTGCATCACACCACCCTATACATGGAAAAATAAAACAATCATATTTAATTACAATCAATTTCGTGATACTTATGTGTGATAAAATATTAGAGACAAATGAACAAGATGGTGAATGATTGTTTTTAAATTGTAGAAAGGACTGAGATGCTGGACTGCAGACACTATAGAACTTCCCAAAAACCACTGATTAAATGTGAGGCAGTCTCAGAATTTAGATCAAAACAGAATAATTAAACTTAAAAAAAAAAACGTATTACAACTTTTATATATCTAAGCTAAATTGTTATTTCAAATTTTCTGGCCCCTTCGACCATTCACAACTCCAAGAGTTTCAAATATTGAATCTCATTATAAAATAAAAGCATCAAAAGCAAGTTAATTTACATTAGAAATGGTTATTTTAGGAATTATGATGTTTTTAAGAGGGATGAGGGGGTCTGACATTTAATGGTAAAGCTTGACAATATGTGGTAGGGGGGGGGGGGGGTGTCACAAAAACAGTGACATCATAAATGGGATACGAAATTTGATAACCATCAAATGCAAATCAAATATTGCCTAACACCTAACTCCAAAATTCTGCAGCCCAGCCAAAATGTAAACAGAAAGTAAAGCAAAAGAACTCAGGGAAGTATAAGCCAACAGAGTTGATGTATTCAGAGTGTACTGACAAGTTGTTTTTGCATGCAAGCTACTACAGACATTAAACAGAATTCATACCTGAATTGTCAGGTCATCATATTTAACCCCTGCATCATTTGCAATATCATCTAATACAAAAATGGGACAATATTTTCCTTTGGAATCACTGCGGTTCCAACGACAATTTCCTAAATCGGCATCGCTGGTGTAAAAGTCCAGAACATTGCGTCTGAAATGCATAAATGGGTTTAGTTCCACAACTTGTGTTATTTGGACTTGTTCAATGTTCAAAAAAATTAATACCCTCTTGATGCAGTGTGAGAACATTTTTCAAAAATTTATTTTTGATTTGCTTAAGCTTTGGCGCACATCAACTCTGATTACATCAACTCTGGAGTAACGGAGCAGGACAATAGAAAACACAGTTGGTGGATGATGGGAAGGAAGATACCTCTTGGGCTACATCTTTATATGTATATCCCGCACCCTTCAAAATAGTGTCCAAAAGAAAAATAGGGCACAGCCTGTCCTTAGAGTCATCAGGATTGAAATTGCAACGATTTAAAAATTCTTTGCTTTCATTGGTGGCGAGTTCAGGCAAGTTGCGTCTATAATTGAAAGTACAGTAAAAAAACAAGATGCAAAGACATAATATACTGGAATAGTGAATAGAGTATGTATTTCCTTTTTTTTTTAATTTTACAAGAGATGTCATGCTGTAGACAATCCACAAGTTTTGACAGAAAATGTTAATTTGTAGCTTTAAGAAACTTGAAAAATATCACAAGCAAGTTAAATATGTGAATTGTATACAGTGCACAATAAAATGACTAAAAAATTGAACCAAAACACAACCAGTGAAGTTTAGCTATCGCTTTATCAAACTAATATGCCGAGGTCACAGAAACAAGTGAACTCTACTTCACTTGCTCCATAGACCGTCAGGTTTGAAAGGGAAACTTTTTACTTTTTTTATCAAACAAAAGCTTGGCCTATATTCAGGTTGTTGACTTTTACACTTTAAAGCCATTTCATTGCCAAGTAGTGTTTAAAAGAAATCTGCAGGCTACTTAATATATTAATATTAGTCAAATTTTTTAACTTCATATATTTTAAAAGAATTTTACTTAAACAAAATGGAACAGCATGGTTCAGTGCACTAAATGAAAAGTCTCAAGTTTGGTTCTGATGCTAGAGTCCATTTTACCTCCATAAAATCACCCAGCTCAGACCAGTACCTGATTTGATCCAGTGAAATTTTATGCTGACCACACTATCCCCTCATAACCAGACGCTAGCAAAATATCATGTCACATGAACCATCGGGTTGGAAAAGATAGTTTTATATAATACAAATTCAATATAGACTTATAAATAAATGTTGTTTACCTCAAGTTAATCCCAATGAAATTAAGATAATGCAGTAGGCTTTATTTTTAAGGGAAACTGCTTTATACCATTAAAATTTTTTCAAAGACTTTAGACTTTATAAATCAAGAAAGGGCTAAATTGAATTAGATCGATTTTCTGTCTTTAATTAAAAGGATTTATAATGGTAATGAGTCTCCATATATAATCAACATGCTACGGGCATATAATTACGTATTGCAAGGCAAAGACATTTATGCAAAGTTTCTTCCGTCTAATTTACACCTTTTACATCTTCCTCCATCCTTTCTCATATCTTTTTAAAATTACTGTACTCTTCTACAAGAGCAACAAATTCAAGGAACATACAAAAGTATGGAAATAAAATTACTTACCTCATAACTTTGAACTTTGGAAATTCAATATTATTTTTGATAAAAACTGTAAAATTTTGAGATCCTGCCAAAATAGGCTCTGTCAAATTTTTATACCTTGATTTTTGAAATAGAAAAATATTAATACATTTAGTAAATAAATAATGACTTTGCTTAAATATTTGCTTGATATAAAGCAGACAAATATAAGGCAGAAGCAATTTTTAAAAAATATGCCTACTTACAGAGCAGGATTTTCTACAGGACACCAACCAAATATTTCACAAGTTTTATTATGTCCAGTAGAATTGACACACTTCCCTGTGATTGGACCTGGAGAAGGAAGAATAAAAATAGATGTTTGTAATAATGTTTTGGCAGATTCTAGCCGGAAAAAGATATGCATGCGCATTGGAGAGAAACTACCGCCTTCTTTCGCTGTGATGTTTTGATGGTACTGCACATGTGTGTTTACAAACAAACTGCAGTGCCCTAACCCTGGAGCAGCTATTAAGGTCACTGCGCATGCGCAGAACTATTGAGTTTCGTATCTTCTGCAAAAAAAAATCTTTTTCTGAGTAGTCACTTCGTAAGGTTTTAATCATTGGCGTAATAATACAAATTAATGTATACTTAAAATATACAAGATCTTGTCCTATGTAATTTTGTGCAGTATGTTATAGGGGTTGCTCATAGTTTGCCTAAAATAAAGTTGCCATTCATGAAGGATGCCATATCCCTATAATTAACACAATAAAACACTACTTAATTAACCCAACTTTTAAAAATTATGATACAAGTGAAAATTAAATAATTTTTTAATTGCCATACAATTTGCTTACCATTTCCACCAGGCATTATATAACCTTTTATACGTTCACAATCAGAATCAGTTTTACACTGAACATCTTGGATGGTGGGGTCCTGCGTCAAGCAGACAAACGTGAAATCAAGATAAGAGGAATGAATTTTTAAAAACTTAGGCTTTCTATAAAATGTTATGCTTTTTGTAATGTTAGTTTTGTGTTATTAAAGTTTCATAATGATGATTAGACAGTTCAAATAATAATCCGTGTAGAATTTACCTCTGAACAATACGACTGAGTTTGATTTAAAGTTGGAACAACATTAGTCATCACAAAAAATGCACTGTTTTCCTAAAAGAGAGAACAAACATTTCATGACGGACAAATTGTTGATGAAATAGTATCTTGAAAATGGGTGTGAACATTTTCTCCAAAGGCCAAGATAACTTAAATATAACATATAGATCTATATCAGAGATTTTTAGATTCCATTACATTCTCACCTCCTATACTACTGTAACATCTTATCAAATCAAATTAACTAAGCATTACAGTACTTAAGAATTAACAGTAGATTCTAAGACTTGCGAACTGGCTTATTTAAAACAATATGCTGGCCAACAGAAAAAAAAAATGAACAAGGTACATTATACCTTGTTTAAACAATAGGCATATAACTATAAGTTTAAATGACTAAACATTACTATACAAATGATAGGGCTAATATTATATAACAGGATCTCTTTTCATTACTACTGTCAACACTGAGTCCATTCAGACTAAAAAGAGGAAAATAATAGGTAGTAGGATAAGTTTGACAATGTGCTGCCCTAGCGCAAGGTTAGAGTATCTGCTTAATGTTATGATACCTGTGGTGGTATGACATAGTCAGCGACATCCCAGGTGCGCATCCCAATATCTGGAAGGTGTGAGTAATTGGAGAAGACGATTCCCTTAACCTTTGTGGTAACAGCACTTTGAACATCATCAAATTCTTGGTAACCTTTCTTATAAACAATAGCATACCTGTGAATAAAAAAATAATTTAAAACTGCTAAAGAAGTCATAATAAAATATGATTTAATGGCACTTATCCAGTTTACAACCTACCAGCCACTGATGAGCCAGTCAGTACTGAGTCAGGTCAAAACTGAAAACACATGATGATAATTTACTAGTACAGTCAGATTTTTAGGGAAACAAAGGTGGTTGGGCATAGTGCTGACCACACTACGATAATTCCATCATATGCCAGTTCTCTGAAGCAGATGAACTCTACACTCTACTAGATAATCTAGATCTACTTGATCTAGATCTACTACTTTATCTGCTCCATGTGTCTGAATAATGGTCAGATTTAGAGTTTTTGATTTTTAGGAGTAGGTAGACTAAGAATAAGATTCTCATTCTGTGTTGAAGCTGAAGTGTGTGTCTAATCACTAGTGAGTCTCTCAACTCTTCTAGTCATAGTTTTGTATTAACAACTTTACACTTAATTATTAAAATTACACGAACACTACACTGTGACTACAGTACAGTAAACTGAGTAAACAACACAATCCTCAGCAACTGTGGCAACTGTCACGGCCACGGTGACTGTCACCACATCCTTCATCGGCTTTTATCTTATGATTTTTAAGAACTCACCCTATCACGTATGCAATAATTGTCAGTTGCAATAATCTATTGATGATCCCGACTTTTTTGCTTCTGATGTGTACTATTCGAGGTGTATTATATTCAAAAAATAATGAAAGACCCAAACGAAAAATTTGTCCTGCGTTCCCCATTTTTTACATCACATGACACCGGAGTTTTCCAACCACATAACGCCCAAACTTGATAATATTTACTTCCAGGAATAGACACCGGTAATTTCTATACAGCTGTGGTTTCGTTTTCCTGCATATTTATTTTTCGCCCTTTTAGAAATCATACTTTGTGACCGTTTTAATTTATTTGTGTTACTTCACTTTCTATTATAGATGTAATTTTAAAACGTATTTAAAAATAAGACCACATAATATATTGTGAATTAGTACTTTATTTTCAAGCTTCATCTTTTTTTGTTTCATTACCTTAAAACTGCCTTCTTTACAAGGTCTACCTCTACTTTAGGCCTACATAATAATAATATTAGTAGTTACTTTACAACAATGAGAAAGGAACTCTACAAATTATGCTAACACTAAATTATTTATAACTTATTAGAATTATTAGACATAAGCCTCGAAACTCAATTACATTTAACAGATGTTTACAGTAGTCAGTACAGTGTGACTAAAGATGTCCTTATATAAAATGCTTCTTATTTATATGCAGAACATCCTGTTTTCCCTAATTAGACTCTCTATACAAGTGTTTTTTGAAAAATAATGTATACAAGATGACCTCAGTTTGTTGTTTGTTATCCTATGCCAATGGTACATGACAAACAGGAACACAAACAAGATAAAAATGAAGGTTTAAAACAGCAAAAACAAACTTGTTACAATTAACTATTTTATTTCATACCAGTTGTAAAAAAAAATATTCTATAAAACAAAAGTTGACATTAGAATAATTATAAACATATTGTATAAAACATTTCAGTTCATAGAATTATAATGCTGAGAGAGGGTTTTGATCTTTTGATTTGAATAAACCAAGGTGTAATAACTCACTGACTCATTGCCAAGTCTGATGCTGTCTACAACAACAAAATGAAATTACAATTTCTTTAAGACAACCAAAGGAATTATTGTGGAGACTTTGGTACTACTTTTTATTTATTCAAATACAAAATTAATAGCAAGCCTTGTAAGAAATCTTTAGAAGGCTTGATAGAAAGACCAATATGGGTTTTAATTTAAAATAATTGTTAAAAATAAAGATTGCACAATATTCCTAAACATGTATGCTACATCCCATCTTGGAACAAATTATAAGATTTTGATAGAGTGCTTATTGTAAATTATAATTCACTATCAATCTAAACAACACACAATGTGCACTAACATCTTTAAAGGGAGATAAATTATCAAAACTGTACTCAATGTACCTTTTTGTAGTAAACCATCTGTATTAATATATTTATTTATATAAATATTTTCAAAATATATGTTTACTCCAAGGCAAAAATAATAATTTAGATAGTCTTTTTTAGCTAACTATTTTAAAGGTGTTTACAGAAAAAATTTGGTCCCTGGCTTCGAAAGTTTGAAAACAAGCAGTACAGATATATCTGATTAGAATATGAATGCACTTGTACTTGTTAGCCAAGTGGAACATGTTACCAATATATAGCACCAGTGATAAGTGTGTTTGAAGGCACTGAGACAAACTCACAGCAATTCAAGATGATAAAATGACTTATAAAAAGTCAACAATTGTCTTAAAATTGATGTTAAAGATAATCTGTACATATAATTTTTTACATATAACTTTCTGGCTGAAAAAGACATTTGACAGCAGTTCATGGGAAAACAGCACAAAAATTGTTATATAAATTTCTAACACATTGTTTTATATTTAACAAAGTATCTTATAATTTTAATGTATTTTAAAGACTTTCTAAATTACCTAAAGTTATGAAGTCTATGTGTATGGTGTGAGGTGGTTGGTGGGGGGGGGGGGGGGGGATTATGCTAGTGGATTTCATAAGATAACACACTATTCTCCTACAGGGTTTGAAAAACAATTTAAAATAAAACTTCAAATACATTTTAATAACACAAAATTGCAAGTGTATCATTTTTCATATCCCTAACAAACTTGACATAAATAAAACAAAGCTTCAAAAAGTACATTTTAAAACCTGCAATTAAATTTCACGTTACTTATTTTTCTATCTAATATTTTGTCACATTATTATGCAAAGGTCAAATTTCCAAAATTATAGGTATCACAACACTTTACTTGATTTGTATTTAATGAAAAAAGTGAAAATTTTGAAACAGTATGTCTTTAATTGATATGAATCAATTGCGCAGAATAAAGTAATTTTTATTACAACCATTTAAGAATTGCTGGTTCCCAAATCTCGTTATGATTTTTATAAAGTCTAGTCTTTATCCTAATTCCACACAATAGTCTTTATCCCACTTCCACACAAGTACGGGGTTGGTAAAATGTCACAAAATATGCAAGGTAAGTCACAACTTTGGATCACTAAACACATCACCATCAAATAAAGAAATGCATTTGGTATAGCTCAAATTAATTACTAGCTATGATTAGAAATCAAAAAGGTTATTTGATAAAACAAACTATCTACACTCATTGGTTACGTTTTCATGCACTGGGTTGCATCAACATATTCTGCAATGAAATTCAAATTCGACAGGAGTTGATGAAACAATGAAATATTTACACAAAAACACAATAACAGTATAAAATTATTAAATTGCACTGGTAAGTGGACATAACAGTGGACAAGAATTGTTGACCTAAGGACTGTCTGGATGCTGCTAGCAAAAAAATTGTTGAAATAGTGGAACTAAAGAAGGAGAAAAAATATCAGAAAAAAATGTGCTATTTTGAATAGTTTATATAGTTAACAATTTAAGTACATAAACTACAGATTTTCTTTAATCTGTTTTACATAAGTGTGTTGATGTATATGTTTTATTATCATAACAGGGAAAACGAGGGGAGATTTTGTGTGCTTTTCAACATATTCTTATCATCACTGTATGTCCCACGAAAGTTAGAAATTGATTATTAACAGTGAGAGGTCCTGCTTCAAGCCTTTGCTACAACTCTTCAAAAAATGCAACTCGGGCTTTGGCAGAGTTGGCTGTCACCTGGAAAATAATGAAACAAAATAAATTAAAAAATGAATTTTTTAGAATTAGTAACGCAATAAAAATAATTCTAACATGGGTAAATGCCAAAATAATTAAAGAAATAAGTTATGTAGAAATATACACTTAATATCTCATCTTTATTGTGCAGTTTTAAAAACTGATTTCTATCTATGAAATCCAGCATACCTTCCTAAGGGTTGAGTACTTTGAATCTCCCCTCTGTATACTCTCATCATGGAGCCGATCCAATGTGCTGGCTCGCTCACCCACTTTCAAAACCTCTATCTCAGTTTTAAGATCTTTCAGCTGATCTTGCAAAGTTTTACTTTTTGTGATGTATTCTTGCCTAAATAGCAACAACAATTTTGAAAATTTAGCACATTTATCAAGTGCATATTTTAAGTACTTTTTTTTCCTATAAGCTTCACAAATATGATATTCTGTATGGATAATTGAATGGAAAGCCTAAGCCAAAAACTAGTTGAATTAAATTTTAAAGTAGAGGCTTACACTTGATTTTACTTAGCTTGTAGTAACAAAAAAAAGGTGAAAGTAATTCAACATCTACAAGGAGACATGAGCAGATACCAAAATGCTTTAAAGCTAATACATTTTACTTTCTTCTTCTTCTTTGTTCTTAATTGTAATACTGGAGATTTCCTCCTACACAAATAAGTATTAAGTATAAACATGTTAAGAGCTGTATGTTGACAGATTTCAGCCTGCTTCTTTCTGAAAGTGCTTCCATAGCCTTTGTTCACCCAAGAACAATCTGCAATCTGAACAAGTCAGTTGTTTGATTTTGAAGCTAGAAAACCTAACTGTCCTTGGTCCAAACTTGGGACTCTTGTGGAGTTTGCAACCAAGAGAACTGTGCATTATAGATTTTTACTTTAACATCCTAATAGTGTTAACTGTCAAACTGCCGTCATTCATACCCTATGATACCTGACTAAAGCAGACACCTAAAATTACAGTGACTATTCTAAAATATTTTGAGACAGTTTAATTATGCTGAAGGGCCAGCTTTCACATCCTGATAGTTTTGACTGTGAAAGTGCCTTGACTCATACCCTATGATACCTAAACCTGCATTAATTATGCTGAAGGCTTAACTTTCACATCCTGATAGTGTTGACTCAAACTGCCTTCACTCATACCCTATGATACCTGGCTAAAGCAGACACCTAAACCTGCATTAATTATGCTGAAGACTCACCTTTCTTTCTCCATCTCCAGGTTAAGCTGATCAATGTTGCCATGATAGAGTTCTCCTTCCAGAAAACATCCTGTGTTTGTAAACTGTAATGAGGAGGTCAGCTCAGACGCCAAAGGGGGGAACATGAAATGCTGTTGAAGACAGGAAACATGAACATGAACATTGCTTATTTACATTGATTTAATCCTATTTCATGAGACAAGTTGGCCATACATTGAAGAAACTGACAAAAAGTATTACAAGACAAGGCATCTCATGGAATCCACAAGGAACAAGAAAAACAGAGATTTGAAAACACCTGGAGCAGAGAAATCGAAAATGACATGAAAATTGTTGGAAAGGGTGGTAAAGAAATGGAAAAAATAGTAAAGCACAGAAAAACATGGAAGGATGATCGTAAGTTAAAAATGGTGGAGAAGAAACAACATCTTATATCAAAGGAATTATTTTCATAAACTGAACAAGATTTTTCAAAATATTCAAACAGCTGCAGCTATACAATTTGTAACTTTGTATTTAGACTTGAAATGCATGATAACTTTGTCACCACTGGCAGAAGATAGTCTAGATATTTAAATGCCGCAGCAGAAGTGTCACTAAAATTATCACACAAGTTATGTGATCCCCATTTCAAAGAATGATTGTGAATATTGGGGCCATGATGCAGTCTCAGCTTAATTCACTGTGAGCTGACACAGCTCTAATGGGTTCTCAACATTTGGGGACAAAATGTGGAATTATATTGAAGATGGCTGCATAATCCCCAGTTGTGGATATAGAAACTTATATTCTACCTACTGTCATTAGGACAATTGAAAAGTAAACTTTTTCTTTTACAACAGAGGTTAACAATGATAAACCAACAAAGTAAATTTTCTGGCTGATCAATTATATTGAACCATTTAAATTATTTTTTAAGTTTGATGAGTATAAAATACTTTTAACTGAAAAAACTTTTTTAAAAAAAATTAATAAGACCTGCACTTAAATAAAGTTTTAAATACAAAAAAACAACCACTACACGATAAAGTAATGGGCTCTCCACTTTTTTACAAATCCACAAGCAACTGATGAGATAATCGGCAAGATGCCCATAAAAATTCTAACGTACATTATATTCTCCCTGAGTGAACTCCACCAGCCTCCTCTTTGCTGCCTTCTCTGCCAGCTGAGCCCTCTTTAATTCCTCTCTTAACTGCTCGGCCTCTGTAGCTCTGTTTAAAAAAAGTTTGTTATTAAATTTGCAATGCGACAGAGAAAATCATTCAAGACCACACACTGTTTTAGTTCAACACATTTTAACACAAACCAAAAATGGTGTGTGGGTTTACATTAATGAACCTCACACACAGATATTTAGGTTTGATCTTTAAGGTAACCAAGAAATGATCTAATTATTTACAATCAAAATTGAGCCTAGATCATATGGTATGTATGTAAAAATTAAATGAAAAATCTTATTTTACCTTCTCTCTGAATCCTCTATAACAGCAGTGGCTATGATCTCAGCATCTCGAGCCCTCTGTTCTAAGTACATTCTCTCTTCTTCTGTCTGTGAGGGTAAAAAAGTTTAGTAAAATTTGAACATCAATGACATGTCAATCTGCAGAATATCATTTTCGAAGTGACTACTCGGAAGAAGATTTTTCTTCCCAACGTCTCCACTTAGCCTAGTTGGCAAAAAATAGCTCTGCGCATGTGCAGTGACCTACGGCTAGGATTAGGGCCAGAATTAGGGTTAGGGATAGGTTAGGGATAGGATTAGGGATAGGGTTAGGGATAGGATTAGGGTTGGTGTTAGGGTTCTGCAGTGGTAAACACATGCATGCGCAGTACCATCGAAAATATCGCCGCGATGGCAAGTCGTAGTTTCTCTCTATTGCGCATGCGTATTTTTTTCCGGCTAGCATCGGCCTATCATTTTACTATTAAAGAATAATTAATGTGTTTCTTTTGCTATCATCAAAAGTAAAAGTAAAATACTTTATTCTAGGAATGTGGTTTTACCTTTATTGCAGTAAGTTTTATTCGTTGCATTTCTGCTTCAGCTTCTGCTGCTTTTTGTGTCAGCAGCCGAGCCTCTTCATCTAATATTGTCATCTTCTCATGGAGAAGTTCAGCTGTCTCTTCAGATCTCATCTAAAATACAGAAAATATTTTGGTAGAATCACAAAACAAAATTAATTCAGATTTACTAAAAGCTGATAAGATTATATATATATATATATATATATATATATATATATATATATATATATATATATATATATATATATATATATATATATATATATATATATATATATATATATATATATATATATATATATATATATATATATATATATATATATATATATATATATATATATATATATATATATATATATATATATATAAATTAAAATAACTTCTTGAAGCAAACCAATAAAGTACCAGTTTTGATAATGTTGATTTACTCAGTGAATAATTTAAATAATAAATGTCTCCAGAGTTACAATATGGTAAAAAAAAAATAGGAATACTTCAACTAATTACTAACAGCATTTACACACACAATAAAAAAAATGTATAAAAATGAACTGAACAGTATTTTTGTGACTTACTAAAGCTTCTTGCGTTTGTCTACTCTCTTCCTGTAGTGCATAAACTCTTCTCTCCAATTCTTCTTTCTCTCTCTGGGCCTCCTCTCTCAGCTGTTTTTCTCTAGCTAATCTAGACCTGTCCATCTAAAATAAAACAATAAATATATAAACTTCAAGTTAATCTGGACATATTTAAAATAAATAAAAACAGAAACTTCTAACTCATCTGGACCTATCCATCTGGAACAAAAAAAACATAAACCTTAGTTCATCTGGACCTATCCATTAAAAAAAATAGAAGTGAAGCCAACTATAAGATGTTCAAGCAAATTATGTTTTAGGTCGTATTTGACATAGGCCTACATGTCTTGTCATTACAACACTGTGTTATAATGACATTTCACGTATTAGAATAACACATTATTCCTCATTATAACAAGTACATTCACAAAGAACATTATAACTAGGAAGATTGATTTGATATTCTTGACTATTAATGTCAGCTCGGCATTTAATTTAAAGATAATCGGAATACATTTAATTAGTTCACTTGTTTATTGGGTTACTGAACAGCTTGGTTATTGAAACATGAGCAGAGAGGAGAAGGAGAAATATCAGTAGCATATTGATAAAATAGCTAACTAAAAGTAAAGTTCCCTTTTCAAACCTTACAGTCCATGGGGCCGCAAGTTGATTAGATTTCACCTGTTACTGTAACCTTGTTTTATGAAGTGATAGTGAGGTTAGCACTATGCCCAGCCACCTTTGCTTTTCCTAACATGAGTTGGATAACCCATTAGAGCTGAGTGGACTCAGGAGAGTTCTTGAACCCGGATTCAAACTCAAGACTTTCAGCTAAGCAGGGCTCTACCGCTAGACGGCATCATCCTTTATAATAACTACCTAAGTAAGGATAATACCTTGTTTATAACACAACTGAGCATCGTAAACACTAACCACAGCAAAACTTTTACAAACCTGTTTCCTAGCTTTCTCTTCAGCAGCCTGCGCCTTCATTTGTTGAATTTCCATAGAGTCTGGCTTCCGCCTTCTCATAAAAAGCTCATGGTTTCCTACACAAAGCTCGAGAATCTATGACAGTGTGAAAAATATATATAGTATTCTAAAGGTAATACAAACAATTTATTTCATAAACGCTAATCCTATAAAAATCAACCTTTAAAGAAAACTCTTACTTACCAACTCATTTATCCTGGGTTTAGGGGCATAAAAAATAAAATCTGGCTCTTTTTTATTTACATTCTTAATGGAGAACTAAAATAAAATAAAATGGTAAACATGAATAAACCAAATAATTACATTAACAACAGGAGTGATGTGGGATAATATGACATTAGCATTGCATGAATTGGACATTATTTTGGACTTATCAATAATCAATATTGAAATTTTAATTACCTTTTTATCTTTGAAAGAGATATTTTTTATCTCACTCCAAGGGAAAGCTACTTTAGGAGATAGCCGGTTATCTCGATCATACACTCCAATGCCTCTTGCATCAACTCCTATCCACAAATCTGTATTCTTTTTGTTCTTTAAAAAAAATATTATTGTATGCCAATTAGCTTTCAAGCTACAGTGAAAATAAAGTATACCTAACTTATTAAATATGTATTTTTTAAAAACACAACAAGCTTGTACTAAGATTGTAAAAGGTAAAAATTTTAAAAGGGTAAAAACATAAAAAAATACTTGTCTCCCCTTTTTCACACCAAAGACTAAAATAAGTAATCTCTCACTCACTTTAATTTGAAAGTAGTTTACACCATACATTTCCAGGTCTTGTGCTATTTTTAGATACTCCATTTCTGCTTCATCACTAGGAATAACAATTTTAACGTGTTTTATGGTTAATGAAATAAAAAGGCATGCATGAGAATGTACTATTCAGAAGCATTACAATGTGTACAAAGAAAGCAGGATAATTTGTTCCTCTTACATTAGTTTGTCCTTCAACATAATATCTTAAACTTTAAAATCATTGAATACCCTGAACAAAGTAACAGGTTTTTAAAAAGAAATGCTATACTAACCTTGTCATACCTCTGCGCTTGGCATACCAAAACTGAATTTTTTCTTCCCACATTGCTGGAGTCATCTGACAATAATAAAATAATATTCATGAATGAAGATGATTCAGAAGGATTCTATATATAAATTAAAATGAAATATGGATAAAGCATGTACCAAAATCTTTAAGCCAAACATTTTCCTCCTAAGAAAATAAATATTCCAACACTGATAACTCAGCTTATCATTAATGGCTTATCATAATACAACTAGAGCCAATTTATTGTCATTTTAAAATAATAATTAGTTAAAAACAAAAATAAACATAAAAATTATGATTCTAGCAAAAAAACATGATAAACAGCATACATTTTAAACATTCTGACAAAGGTTATAATAAAAAGACATAGAATGTTTAATGTCCATATATTAGCAAAACTTTAAAAACCTTTAAGTGGCTTGTGAATAAAGTTTACTCAAAAGTTTACATGTTAGGTAAAAAGTGCATGCATATTTGTATTAAGCAGAGAACTGGTGGACATGGCTAGGGTAGTTGTCAGTAGAAAGGCTGGTGTCTAATGGAGTTTGTTTATTATATTAGAGTAAGAGGTCTGTGCCATTATTAAGAGAAATATTAAGGGATACAGGTGTCATACTTTTTTAAGAAATCTAATATGTAAAGGTCATAGGTTAACAGGAAGGTTAAACACAAGGCTAGAGTGCCTTAGATAAGTGAACACAACAAAGACAAAAAATATTAAAAACATCAATTTTTTTTTTTTTACAAGGTCCATAATTTATCATAACACCATAATACAAGTCACATAAAAAAACAGTTTTTTACTCATTCACCTGGTACTGGTCTAAGACCCTCTGAGGTAACAGGTCATCAGATGCCAGCATGCCAGGCTGGTAGGTAGTCTGGTCGTAGTCCCCGTATTTGGCTTGCACAGCAAAGGCAGCGAGTAAAACAGAAGCTTCAGGTGGGCAGTAGATGTCCATGTTAAGGATTGACTGTTTTACCTACAAATATAATTTATAATTAGGCTTAGTGATTTGATTTTTTTATTGGCTTTATAATTTAATTCACCACCCAGCTCACAGCTAATGTCATTAACTTAATGCAACTGCTATGTAATTGAAACTGTGTGCATCCCAGAATATTAAATTTCATCACTTTTAACTAAGTTCAAGTAGTAATTAGATTTAAATAATTTTAAAAATATGCAAACATTATGGTTTTAATTATGGTAATTAGCATCACCAAAGTATAATTCAGAAATATAAATACAATTTATGATGTATCAAAGGTCTAACAATGAAACATTTTCTTGCAAAAATTGAATATATCAGATAAGATATAATTTAAATAGCAATAGTATATTTAATTGTAAAAATATAACTCTCATTAAGATATGTCAATATCTAACATGGAAAAGGGTAAAAGAAAAACATTTGATCTAGGGCTAGTTACTTGTTGGTCTAGGGCTACTATAGTTACTTGTAAACAGAAAACATTTGTTCTAGGGCTACTACAGTTACTTTTAAACAGAAAACATTTGGTCTAGGGCTACTACAGTTACTTTTAAACAGAAAACATTTTGTCTAAGGCTACTATAGTTACTTTTAAACAGAAAACATTTGGCCTAGGGCTACTATATTTACTTGTAAAAAGAAAAGATGCTGGGTAATCTCTTGTATCAACTCCTCCAGCACATCTTCAGGATAAAACTTGGCCAAGAAGGTAAACTGAATCTGGGATTCTTTTGATACACCTTGGTCCAACACCTTGGGAAAAATGACACATGTTTGTTTAATAAGAACATGAAGAAATGATTCATTTTAAAAAATTGTTATTTATAAAAGCAATGGTAGGACTATACAGTATCACATAAAATATTTTCCTGCTGATAATATAAGTTAGTAACACGAACAAAAATATCCTCAAATAAAACCTATCGATTGAGAAATACCAAAGATTCAATCTTACAAACTCAACATTGTTGTATGACTAGTATTTTGGATAATTATATAATGGCATTATATTATGATTGATTTTGTCTGCACTACAGCAACAGATACAACCAACCACTATGAGATTTAAAAATGCATTGATTTAATCCGAACTAATGTTTAGAAATTTTAAACTTAAACCTTTTTATCTAATTTGAGCCAAGCAACATAACCCTTTGAATCAACATATTGCAATCCAAAGTACCAGGTCTCTCTTAAACCAATCGTGCGTCCAACCAGATCAAACAGCTCTTTTCCTGTTGTCTTGGGCTAAAGAATAAAAAAGAAAGAATACAGTTAATGAGTTATACACTTACCTGTTTTATCGTCCATAAACATACACTGTTACTAAAATATACTCTAATAAAAGGTTTATAAATTTGTGTTTGGTGTCCCATTAAATAGGATATCTTATATAATTCAACAATGAAATAATTATCAAGCTTTTTACATTACTTGTAGGGGAACAGTTTCACAAATATATTATCATCCCTACATTGTACCAAGATTAGAGTAGGCCTACTAAACAAATAAAAGTGTTACTAAAAGTAACATGACAATAAAAAAAAAAATCCACCTCAATCTTAAATTCTAATTCAGCATCCATTGTGAAGACTTTGACTGGAAATTGTTTAGCATTAGCTTTTGATGCCTTAGACATTGTCATTTTAGGCATTTTTGTGCTAGACAATATTTCACTCTGAATAGTTCAGGCAAGTGTAATGGCCTACTACATGCTACAGTTTATACGCTTTTATACTGTATTAAATCTGGCCCAGAAGCATTTCTTCTACATGCTCAGCAATGCTGAAAAAGAAAGAATATGTTGTGAATGTTACAAAAAAGCATATGTATATTTTATTTTTAAGCTTTATTTAGGCTATTTGTGAAAATGCTACTTACCCTAAGTCATCACAGAAATAAGTGGTCATAAGGAGCCATGTTGTTTAACAAACAGTTGGTCATTGGAGCAGGAAATCTAGAAATATTTGGAATTATTTTGATAAATTATGGTTAACTGGAAAAATATAGATGCTTCTCTTCTACATTTATGACTGGAGAGACTTATAAGTTTTAGGCCTAAATGATAAAACTCCCCCCCACCCCATAAACAAATGGGATTTTTTTCATATGTATTAAAATTTTGCAGTAAGCATACAATCAATCTGAAATAGACCAGACTATAAATACAATTTAAGACTGCAACTTTGAACTTAATAACAAAGAGAGAGATCTAGCATCTAAATATAGAAAATAAGTTAGGCCTACAATTTTAATTTTTTTTTTTAGATCTAGAATCTAGACTAGATTCAATATCTACTAGATTGTAGATCTTACTTTGGTAAAACTCTATTTTAGCGTATTTTATTCCCCACTTCACGTTCACCTACAGTTGAGCGTATTTTATTATAAATGCAGCCAAAACACACAAAAACGTTAGGAAAACACTAAACCGATTTCTTTATGAATTGTTTTAGTTTTTTATAATTTACTGTTGTGAAAAATTGAGATTTGGAATATTGAATGTGTACTTTTTAGATCTGGCTAGGGATTTAGCTTTTGTTCGTGTCATTTAAGATTTTCATGGCAAAACTCAAAATTGTAAGACGGTTAAGTTTGTATTGTTAAATAAAAGTATCTCGCACGTAAGATACTATAAATCAACTTATATGAACTATTTCAAATAGCTATTGCCCAAGCTATGACGTATGCTGATAATTAATGTCAATATGAACTCACAGTGAACCCTCGACCATATATGGATTTTTCTCCCTCTGACGATCATAGGCTTAGAACCTATTTATAATCTTTTTTCCTTTTCTAATTATTAAAACACACATTCATTTCATAAAAAAAATAAGTAGAAATCTAGATCTAATCCTAGTGTTTTCTTAATGTTTTTGTGTGTTTCAGTTGTTTCTATAATAAAATATGCTCAATGGCCTAACCGGAGGTGAACGTGAAGCGGCGAATAAAATACGCTAAAATGGAATTTTACCCGTAGCCTACTTTAACTTTAATAGATCTAGAATTTAAAAACAAAAATCTAGACTAGATAGGGCCTATTCTTAAATATTCTAGAGCGGTAGACTGTGTTGTGCGTATTGTACAGTGAACAGTGTGTGTATCAGACAGAGAGTTCTGTGAGATACTAAAATTTTGAAAATAGTTTGTGTAGCCATTTCTAGTACTTACTACTTTTGAATTACTAGTAACTACTACTAAAATGACGCCAGGAACTCACTAGATTTCTTCTTTTAGATCTAGAAAATCTAGAATCTAAATGGGAGTAAATGAGTATGACTAAAAATGAAATGAATGGATGAATCACTAATCATCAATGTTTGGCTTGGGGGAAAGTCGGCTAGGGCTTGGCTTTGATTGAAGAATAAGAAATTGGAGGCTTTTATTGAATTGTGAACAAATCCAGACTTAGATCTAGATCAATCTCTTAGAATTAAAACACTAGATATTAGTAATTCTGAAGTTTCCTAGTCTAGTACATTTAATAAAAAAAAACAATCGTGAAGTCTTTGCCATAGGTTTGATTGACTTAAAGTTTATAAAATAATAAAAGAGTTCCAATTTTTATTTTAGTTATTCGGCCATATTGTTTTCTTAATATAAATTAGTGATCTGTTTTCAAGAACTAAATATTACGAAACAAAACTATAATTATATCAATACGAGACAAGAATCTGTGTAAAACTGTAGGCTATTAAGTTTTAAAATTTAAAGAGTATACGTTTTATCTATTTATCATGTTTTGATATATTTTCTGTATAAATTCCGTTTCATTGGGGGGGGGGGGGGGGGGGGGGGGGGGGGGGTTTAGACCTTCTTTCGGGGTCGGGGACGGGGACGGGGGGGGGGGGGGGGGGGGTGGGGGGGGGGGGGGGGGGGGGGGGGGATGGGATGGGCCTGTTCCCTCCCGATGAGATGCCTGGAAAAAACTCTGATTTAGATCTATGCCTAGGGACTTTGCCAAGGGAGATGTAGTAGGCCTATGTGTAAGAATTTTCGTATTTGATCTACCATAATCTATGCTAAAGCTGACCAATAGTCTCCCAGTATCTTCCGTTTATTGAAAGTTAGTTTCAATTCAAGCACCATGTTTCTTTGTTACTGTTTTTTGTGTGTGTATTCATTACGGCAGGGTTTCTTTCAAAAACTTTAAACAAGATTGGGGGGGGGGGGGGTGTACTTGAAACTTCCTTGAGTGGGGGGGGGGGGGGGCGAACAATGTTTAAAGTTAATATTTTCTACTCTTTTTCATCGGGGAGGGGGTGGACCTTGCTTTGGGTGGGGGGGGGGGGCAGTGCACCCCCTCTCCCCCGGGAGACATGAAAGAAATTCTGCCACTGCGAGAAAGAGAATTACACTCAGTATTCTCTGAACTAAGTGATTGTTTTGTCCCATCTGTGGTAGAGCTGGAGTCGTCAGTAATTCGAGTGTGTTCTGGCAGCATTAATAAGTGATCCGAGACACGGAGAATAACTGTCCACAAAATACGAATAAAAAAATGTCATTTATTAAAGACATGCCCAGTGCCGGCGCCAGGTTATTTAGCGCCCTAGGCAAAAACTTATTAAAAACGCCCCCCTTTCACACAAATTAATTACTAAAACATATGTGGGGTCATTCATAAACAGTTTTTCTTCCAGACTCTCTTTCTCCGGGGCTGCACTTGAAATGGGGGCGGACAGCAATTTCTGGTGGCGGGGGGGGGGGCACTGTCAAAAGTATATATTTTCTATATAAATTCCATTTCGTTGCGGGGGGGGGGGGGGGGGGGTGGGGGGGGGTGTGGGTGGGGGGGGGGGGGGGGGGGTAGCGGTAGACGTTTTTTTACCTCCCCCCTCCCCTCCTTCACACGTCGTCACAAAAAGCCAGACCCCCCCCCCCCCCTAAAATGACGTCACACCTCAGCCTACAACCCCCCTCAAAATTGCAGTTGAATTTTTTTTTAAACATAGATATTTTCCCAAAATCTTGTCTGAACTCTGTCAAAATAGAGTATTTTAATCAATTCCTATTACAATGTATTAAAACAGTTTTCTAAAACGCAAAACAACGTCTAAAATTCGTTTTCTAACATTGCTTTTTTGTAATGCAAAAGTGTGACGTCGCACCATCTGACCCCCCCCCCCTCCCCTTCATCACACACCGTCACAAAATTACGGACCCTCCCTCCCCCCTACGAGTGTGACGTCATTTATGGACGACCCCTGAATAAAAAAAAACCCAATTAATTAAAGGAGACATATTTATTTATTATCAATTGCATAAACGTTATAAGTAAGACATCGAAATCAAATTTTACATGCCTCCTTCGTCTCAAAGGTTCGTACTAATTCCTTCAATTCCTGTTTGCAAGCGTAATCACATTTTATTGAAATAGTTGCTAAGTCCACGAGTTTACTTTTGTACTTTCCGATATATATAGCCCCCCCCCCCTCCCCCCTAGAAAATTTTAAGTGCTCCCCCCCCCTCCCGGGGGGGGGGGGGGAAGCAGTCTGTAAAAAAAAACCACTGAAAAAAAAAGTTCTTGTAGTGTTGGGCTGTCTGCATTCCTCCCAAGGTGAGTTCCAAATTACAACGTACCGATTTTAAGCTTGACTCTATTTAGTTATATTAATTAAAGTTATAATTGTAAAATGTCTATATTGTGTGATTATGTAACGATTTTTTGTTTGTTTTTGAAAAATAAAAGGTTCCAGTCTAAAATTGTTATATGTGAATCCTTTAGGAGAGGGTGAAAAATATGAAAAGACAATTAATTAGATGTTTATTTTACGACTAAGAACGGTTATGTCTATTAAATTAATTATTGCAATCTACGACAGCTACAGATGTATTTGTTTTTCAACTTGATAATGCTAAAAAAAAACCTACCAAACTATTTCGTTTAGAACTTCTGCTCTATATAATTGTTACAATAGCAAATAATAACTTAAGAGTTGTATTTGTAAGTATATGTAATCGGTCAACCTAAGTTGCCAGAATGTAAAGTTAAGCAATGAATTATCTCCCATTTGAAAATCCATATACTAAAATTTGATTCAAGGTAAATAACTTTCAAAAGAATGGCTAAATTAATCAAGGGTAACTAAGACATGCTTGAAAAACACAATTAAAAGCTCTACATTTCTTTATGTAATAATTATAACAAATATTTTGTATTAGCTATGTATTCTCGTAAAAACAAAATATTTTACTTATTGAATACTTAACTGTAGGGTTGTTTGAAAGTCTAAAAATGGTAGCTTGATTATAACATATTTCTATTCAATTTTGATGACACAGTAGGGAACAATTGACATGTTTCTTATGTAATTTAATGAAAATTTTGGATCCCCTAGATAAGGGGACGTCTTTCAAAGCATCAAACACGGGTAACTATTTAAGACATTACTAGAATCATTCATTAAAATATGAAAAACATTATTATTTGAAAACACAAAGTTTACAGTTTATAAATTCCATCCTATTTAATAAAATATATTAATACTTTAAGATTGGTAATATAGATTCCTAAAAAACTAAAGATTTTTCAACTAGAGAACGCCTACCTTTCTTGTGTGTTCCGTACTGAATTGAAATCATCTAACTTAAGATAAACTCGACTACTCGATATACTCTACTACATTTACAACACATATCAAACTTCTTGGAGATACCTAACCATAACTAGACTCAATGCTCCAGAACTATGACACCAAGTAGTTTAACTTTATGAAGCTCTACAAACGATACTCCAAATCAACAACGATTTCACTGGATCTACTACTATACTTTAACAGTCGATATAATTCGATACTTTAATAACACAAAAATCAATACACCCGAACTCCAGATCTAAGATACTTCATCACATGCATTCTCATTTCTCTATTACCTATCAGATTCCACTAGATCTTCAAGTACAAAACAGCCGAATAAAAATTATGACACTTTAACACTTCGATACTTTATACCTAAAAAACCATATCAGCAACAGCCTTCCGCCGTTACTCCCAAATCTAAGCGATTCATCAAACTTACCAAACAAGTACAATACATTGAACACCCCGTCAATTCAAAACTTTATAGACCAGGACAGATTTCTAAGTCAGAGAAAACGAGACTTACAAGCCTATTAAAATTAGATAACCGTTTGAAATGTTCGAAATTGAAATTACGAACTTATTTAATCGTTTTCTACATCACTTGTATGACACCAAATTAAAATAACCCGGGAGTGATCTCCCCTAAGCTTTCTCGAATATTCTTATATCACAACGGTGGATGGCAACTAGGGATATAGACAATATTTTAAATCAATTTTTATACTTAAACTTTTAAAAATAGAATAGAATCTCGAAGAAAAAAGAATTGCACACCAAGTGAACGCCAAATAAAGTGTGTATAATAGTCGTAGCGATTCTTCCCGGCGCCCGGGGACAAACTTTCAATTTGGCGCCCCCCCCCATATATTTTTTTGTATTTATAATGCAAAATTGCAGCTAAAATGAGCTTTTAATAATTTATTTTCCTAACTATTTTGGCGCCCCCTAGGATCGGCGCCCGGGGACATATGTTACCCCCCCCCTTCGCTACGCCTCTGTCTTAAAGTATCTTCAATTTATGTATACTCTTTGTTCTCGCCTCGAATTGCTAACCTTTCCAAGATAAAGTGCTCATACACCCATGGCCTTACACAGTTGAATTCAGATATCAACAGCAAGGGGAGGGCCACTTATATAATATTTCTATCATTAAAAGCACTCAAGAGTCAAAGTCGAATCATGGGGGGATATATTTACTGCATTAGTCTCCCTTGAAAAAAAAAATCTCTTAAGCTGTCCACAATTTCACCGCATTTCTGTTAATAATAGGACCAAATCTTTTAACCTTCTTCTTCTTCGTTCTTAATTTTAGTGTTGGAAGGGATCCCCTAAAACACAATTAAGGCTACGTGTCAACTGGTTATGCGCCATTGAGGCCATTGACTCCGATTTCAGCCTGCTTTTCTTTTTGGATTTGCTTCCATAGCCTTTGTCCAATCAAGAACAAACTACAAGGCAGCAGTTGTTTGATTTTGGAGTTGTCTCTCCTAGAAGAGTGGCTGTCCCAGCTAACGAGCCTCATCTTCCCGAGGGTTCGAACTCGAGACTTTTCGGTTCAGCAACCT